AAGATTGGACCATGTTAGGCCACAACAGTGCCATAACAAAAACTCTTAATGGCCAAGGGCTCACCCTCAACCCCATTTGACTGTGGGCTGCTGTTTGGAGTTGAGGCCCACTTCTCTTCCTGCATAGTCACAAGCACCTCTGGAGCTGTTTGTTATTTTCCACCACTTATTTGGGAAGCTTCCAGCAAACATGCTGACATAGGAACCTTAGTTAAGTTTAACGCTGGGCTGGACAATTCTGTTTTTTTGATGGTTTCCATTCAAAGCATTTGCAAATGAGATCAGGGTATTTCTGGTTCAGCCCGACACACTGAACACCTTTGGGGAGGCACAAAAGATGAAATATGAATCCTCTTTTCAGAAAGTATGCACAACTACAGTCACCAGGATGATTATGGTTCAAGATACAATTCAAATTAGTGGAGCTATGTACTAATCATCACAAAAGTAGGTTTGCAAGTGTAAAATTATAGTACTATTGCTTCTATAGCATAGTGAATGCTACTGATCACTCAACAGCTTGCAGGGATCCTCCTTTTGAATTATATTAGTCTGAGTGTCTGAGTCATACAACTCTTCATTCCCTTCCTTTTCTTCTTCCTGACGTGCATTATTTCTCCTGACCTGAAGTAAGTGCTGTTCATTCTTTGCAATGGAAAGCTCAAACACTGAGAACATGATTTCACAAGATACTGGGACATAGTAGAGGACATTCCAAGAGCACAGTGCTGCTCCTCAACCACCCTCTCCCTTTGCTCTTGAGGCTTCTGACCACTGTAAACCAACACCATTCTCCTTCTTGCAACAGCAGAAACAACATGCAGCTGAGTAGGGTCTTTGAAGGAGTTGTCCTGAAGTTATTTTGCAGAAACTCCATTTTTACGGTAAAGGTGAAACTACAAAAGGGCTTTTTAGTTAAAGAAATTTTGTGTTAGATTTAAATTAGTTGTGAATTTTTAGCTACTTTCCTGATTATTCTTAATGAACCTACTCTATAAAGCAAGCTGTAGCTCCAATGCTCAGAAACTGTTACAAGCCATATTAAACGAGTCTCAAATCTGGGTTGCCACAATTTTGTCCTGCAGATTATGAAAACTAGCATCTACCAGGATAATCAGTGAGTGCCTCTTTTCTGTGGCTAGATTCCTCTTCAACAACATTTAACTTTTGCTGAGTACCTTGTGTATCAGTTGCTCCCCCAAATTTCAGCCAGAGTGTTTACATGCCAGCTTGTTTAGATAACCCAAACTGAAACACTGGACTGTTTGTCAACAATTTAGCTGTTGATTCCTGCTACAAAGATAAGCCAAAATCCAGAGGCTATAAGGATTCTCAAATCCTACTGCCAATGTAAGTCAATTTTTCACAGCGTTTTATTGATCTATGCTGCTATAAACTGCAGTCCAAAACATACTGTGCTATACAGAACAACAAAGATATTTAATGGTCCTAAGCATTCATGGGGTTATTACAATGTATAATTAATTAACCAAACTACTTATAAGCCATGCCACAGCTTTGTTCTGTGCTGATTTCAAATCCAAGACATTGTCAACTTCTTTCCTTCATTGACTCTTCTCCAGCTACTGACATCATGATTTTGGGTCTTCCATGAACTTCCAGATTCAAGTAAGTCCTTCTTTCCTCTTCTGCTCATAGAATCATAGAATGCATCGGGTTGGAAGGGTCCTTTAAAGGTTATCTAGTCCAACCACCCTGCACTGAGCAGGGACATCTTTAACTAGATCAGGTTGCTCAGAGCCTCATCAAGCCTGACCCTGAATGTCTCCAGGGATGGGGCCTGCACCACCTTTCTGGGAAACTTGTTCCAGTGTTTCACCACCCTCACAGCAAAGAACTTCTTCTAACGTCTAATGTAAATCTTCCCTGCTCAGTTTGTAACTTCCAACACCATGCATTTTGTTGTTGTTTTCTCTTTCATTTCTTTTTTTGCCTTTTGTCTTTTTTTTGGGGGGGGGAGGGGTGTGTGTGTTTGTTTTTGCCATTTGTTTTGGCTTCAAGAATATAAGTTCCTTAAGGCATGATTATATTTTGAAGTCTAGTTTTCTTATTGAACAATGGCATGCATAATTGTTTATCTATAGGAAGTAATTGAAAAAATGTGCTTTAAAACACTTAAAATATTTTTCTACAACAGGGTAAGACTCTAACTGAGAAGTGGAGTATTACAGACTGAGAGTACTAGGTACTAACAGAACCCACTGTAGGAACAAGATTGAATATACAGCTCTGATATGTTTCCATTACTAAAAAAAAAAAGAAAGAAAAGAAAAAGTAATGTTTCAATTTTGTTGCTTTTAAGTTTATGCCTAGACTCCAGATCTATAACGTTGATGCTCTTCTGGTGTGTATATATTTGTAAAGTGCAAATGAAGGTAATACTTGGTAGTGGTTTTGATTCTGATTTTTGACGGACAAGACTATGGAGCATTTTACGCTCCTACTCCAGCCAGTGATGCCAGATAAAAGATAATATTTTTGGTGCTCTTATACGTGCCTTGGTTTTAGGTCTACAGTATCACCCAACAGTGAAAATACAATCTATGTTCATGCCACCCCTCACATACATTTTGAAACCTACAGCTCCTGCTTGCCGAGTGTAAAGACCTGACATCTTACATCATTCATATACAACAAGAAGTTAACGCAGGTCTAGTAAAATCAAGCTCTGCTGACATTTTGATGACATGCTTGGAATGCAGTCAGAAGTTTAAAACCTATATTGGTGTATTTCCAATCAGTTTTCAGGCGGATATTAGATATCTATGTCAGAGAATGTAGAGAATCTAAGAATTCTCAGAGGATATGAACTTTAATCTATTTAATATTTTATTCATTATGCTTTAGTTAAAGATCTGCGCTTTTTCTCATTAAAATAAATTAGTGACTTAATCTTTAATCCACTAAATAAAATATATTAGTATAACGTTGAGGTTGGTGTCTTCAACTGAGAAAAAGTCAGGGAAATGCAGTGCGCTCAAGCAGCCCAGAAGGCCAAC